ATTCTGAAGCCTACAAAACCTTATTCTAGTTCACTAACTCAACTCGATGTTGATTACATCTCAAAAAATGATATGCCACAGAGGACAAGCCATGAACCTTCCATCCAAAGGACCAAAGCAGCCAAGAACGAGCTCAACCCACAGCCTAACGAAGGGATCTGCAAATAACTTTTGCACAACCTGTCAAAAAGAACTCGATTGTTCACTAACATCTACAGGGCCCAATGATGAACTCAACATTCAGGATAATTCAGAAGAATAAACGTCGGTGGTGTATTTTTAAAATAAAGAAAACTCAAACGCATAAAACCCATCAATTATGGATTTCACAAATTAAAAAAAATAAAAAAGAACTGTTTTTTGTTATTAAGGGCCCATACATTGTCCAGTGTCACAGGTCAATTTAAGACTTAAGGGTGTGCCATCTCATGCAACTCATAACAATGATGTCTGGAGCCTCATTACGTAAACTTTACATCAATATGGCTAGCATGTGCAAACACACACACACACATATGAAAGCAGAGTGAGAGAAAAACTAAGGTTTGACATACCAATTATTATCTGCAGCAAGCAACTGCACTGTGAATGCTAGTGTATATTGCGGCTAAGCAACCCTTGGAATGATAAATATAGATCTTTGTTGTCAGTCCCGAATATTTCTTCTGCTTTCCTTAAAGTTTCCTGAAAAAATGTACATAAATTTTTAACAACATTGGTAAACATGGGTCTTCTAAAAGTTTAGCTGTATCAGTTTGGCAAACCATCAAACAATTGACTATCGCTTTACCTCTCTGGTTTGCTTATGAGCATTTAGTTCCTTGATGTTAGCCAGAAATGCACTGAACTGCTCATATGATAAACGACTCCTGAATTGCAGTACATTTAGATCAGTCCGTTAAGGGCAAGTTACTATTGCAACAAATCAGTAACAGCATACTTGAATTGCAATTATTGCACCAACCTGGCCTGACGAAAGAACTCTTTTCCGTCAATTCGAGGAGTGCGCCCTGCCAAGTTTGCAATGCAGAAGATGAAGAGTTTTAATTCCAAAAGGTAATTCAACATAGTAGAATTGAGTGTTCATATAGTATCATCAACAACAACTGACTGTTGTACAGAAAGACCCAGAAATATTTTACTTTTGGAGTAAGAGGGGGGAGCAGTTGGTTTCGAAACATAACCGCAGATTTGTGGCAAATGATAAAACAGGCCACAGAGAACCAGAAGTTCCCGAGTTCAGGTGCAAAAATGAATTCAAACCTGAATGTGAACGTCCACGAGGTGGAGAGTTTGCTGCTGATGACTGCTGGCTTGATGAGTACCATGAAGAGAATGAAGTCCGTTCTTTATAGGCGGATTTTTGGGGAGATGTGGCACCAGATGATTGCTGAGGAGAAGAAATGGCAGAATACCCTCTAGGTGACCCACTTGTGGAAATAATCTTTGGAGTTCCAGTTGGAGTAAGCCGCGGAGTGATATATGGAGTTATAGAAAATCCTTGACTGGAATTCTTCAAGACTGTCAGCCAAAAAGTTGGTTTCATGATTTTCATTAAAAAGAATAACTGAATGATATTTGAATATGTTACCTCATCATAACAAATTGAGATAATTTAAGTAAAAGTACGATGAACATTTTTTTTAAGAGAAACAAGAAAAAGTGTAGAAACAGAAATAGCCGGATACAAAAGTGTGTTCACCAAGTTTATTAACTAATCTATCAGTATCCACTCAAAGAAACCAGAAGGTCCAATGTCACAAAGGCCACCAAACTGACTAAATTATGGATCGGTACCTCCTAAAAAACTCAAAAGATTCAGCATCACAAAACCCTTCGTTAAAATTTCAAAAATCACCCACATATTCTTTTCTAATCCAACAAAAAACTATGCCTCAGATATGTTCGTTGCAATGTTACCAATTCTAACAGGTAGCATACAGTCAGGATCAAGGTCCATGGACGTTAGAGTCAGATTACGTACCTTCATCAGTTGCTCCCTTATCTGTGGAACCACTTGAGGAATATTGTCCTATGTAGCCATTTGTCTCCTCATCTGTAGCAGAACAGAGAAACAATCCACATTAACCACCAAATGAAAGGAAATAATAAGAAACAAAGTTAGAATCTACACCATTAGGGGGAAAATGCTAGACATAAAACCGATTTATTGCAGAAAACTATAGAGCACTTGGTCAAGTCAAAGAAACCGTACCCTTATCAGGATATGCCTTTGGAACAGTGCCAATATCAACAGTTTCAGCTGGCTATAAATAAAAAATATAGTGAATGAGTTCAATAAAATATATATAAGAACACAAAGTTCCACGTGAAAACCTCCATCACTGGAAGAAAAATAACAGACTTAGATTTCCAAATATATAAAAAGAAACCATAATTGGTAAAGCTGAAGTCCTTACAGATCCATTATCATCATTTAGCGACTGCATTAGTTGTTTCTTAAATGTCTCCAACTGTTAACAGGGGGAAAAAAGTCAGTCCATAGGTTGACATGCTACAAGAATGAAAACAAGTTGAAGAGACAAGTTTGCAATAAAACGAGAGGTGGAAGGATGAAGGAACAAGAAAATAAATCATGAGTTAGCTTCAATTTCAAAACAAGAATCTACATGCAATGGGATACACTTGAACAACAAAGAAAAAAGCCTCATGCTTTAAACAACTAACAAATCACACCTTTGATAAGTCACGGCTGAGCTTTTTAGTAGTCAATGCCAACGAATCTCGCTCTTTGGAAAGCTTCAACTTCATGAACAACAAGAACATAACAAAGTCACAGTTAATGCAAGTTTGTTTCAATATGAAACTCAAGGGTGATGCACCATCCATTGCCGAGGATGTAAAGTTAACAAGAAAAGAAAACTATGCTTGAATCTTGAACACTACTATTCTTTTGTTTCTTGAGACAGTAATACAGCAAAAAAAGATGAATCCAACTTACTGAATGTCACAACAAGTTGATGTGAATGTGATCAATGTATTAGTAAATTTCTATCCCTTTCACAAACCAAATCGAAAGAAACACATGTGCATGTTTATTACAAACAATATACGTATTCTAACAATTCCAACCAATTTACTCAGCAACCAACCAACTGAAAATTCCCACCGGAATCAAATTCAGAAGCAAGGTATTACATTTCGCGGATGCAAATTTTTTGGTCGAATTACTTGACGCTAATTTAAAGAGGTAGACAACCATAACCCCTCAACACCCCCCCCCCCCTCTCCTCTCCTTTCTCTTTTTTTTCGTTCAGAAGATTTTAAAAAAAAAAAGAAAAAAAAAAAGAGAGAGATTAAATTGTCTCCCTTCTCTTCAATTTCCTCCAATTTTCAGCAGCCAAGCAAACACATAAAGGGTAAAAATATACAAAAAAAAATTGGGGGAAAAATCCTAAATTTCAAATTCAAAAGACAAAAGGATATGAATTTCCAAAAAAATGGAAAATTGGGGGTTGAAATTCTTACATTCTCATCCAGATAAATTCTCAGGCGGGACTCAGCCTCGTGGTTGGCGTGCTGGAGGCGCGAGACCCTTTCCTCGAGCTCAAACACAACCCTATCTTTGTCCTGCAGCTTCTGCCTCATCTTCCCCATCTCAGACTCCAGCTTCGAAACCCTAGACGCTATGGCCATCGACGTGATCTTCCGCGCCAGATCCAGCTGGTCGTACGGGTCGCTCGGTATCACCGACAAGATCCCGTCCGGCAGGTGAAAGTCGAGCCCACCGCCACCTCCACCACCACCGACGCTTCCACTGCCCTGCGACATAGCTGACTCCTCCTCCGAGCTTCGAGTCTCCGCGCGGTGATTGTGGCCGTTGGTTTGATTCGATTGTATTATTTTCCTTCTTCGAACATCACATTGGGCACAACGACAATTATTATTTATTTTTTTAATTTCAATAAGTTTCATTTGAATAAATTCCCACTCTCTGGCCTTTCCCTGTTTTTTTTTTTTTTTTTTTTTTTTTTTTAATTTAATATTTAAATATTTTTTTTCAGCTTACTTTAGGCCTTTTTACGGGGTCGCCGTCTTTTTTCGAAAATTGCGTGGGTTTCCCTCCAAAATCCAAACAAATATTAGGCCTGAAACATATAAAGCTCAAATCGTATTTGAGCCCAAAACAAACCCCCATTTTGCAATAAAGGCCCACCAAAACACATTTTTTGTCCCATAAGAGCATCTTCTTCGATGTCTTTTAAAATGTAAAAATTTAAGTTTAACAGCTTATTTGTAATCATAGTACTACCGGTTTAGTGATATTCGATTCTTGTTAAAAGTAAATTTGAAACATATTATTGCTAGCCTATTATAAAGCTAAGCTTACCCATCTTCCTCTTATGTAGATAATATTTTTTGTTAAAGAACAAAAAACAGGTTATATGAGAATTTGAATTTTTAAATTTTGTTCTCTACTTGATATGTCAAATTAAAAATATTTCATAAACAATTTTGAACAATAATAAATATTTTTAAAACAAAATATAATAATTAAAATAATTAAAAAATAATTTGAAGTTACTATTAATTTTTCCAGCAAAAGTAATAGCTGTCAACCCACGTCGTATCACAATTGAATTATCAGTTGAAAAACATTGCTTCTGTCTTTTCTGACCATTAATGTTGATTTGGACCTTTTGGTATCTCACCATTTTTCTGCTTCTGCGTCCAATTGGGATGTCGAAAGATGTTAAAAGTTATAAATTCATGCGGTTTAACAAAAGGTATATTGAACTTTCATATTATATGTGAAGTTTGACTAAATTACCTCAAAACTTCAACTGAAACATTCATTTAAAGCCCAATAATATTTGGGCCATCAAACAAAGCCCAATGTTGCAATTAAGGCCAACAGAACAAAGATTTTGTATTTTGGCCCATAAAAGAAAAAACTATACCCGGCCCGTCTCCCACCCCCTCTCTCTTCCTCTCTGCCTCCAATTGCTGTGGGACGTAACTCGAATAATCGAGTGAGTTCTTCAGACCCCTAATTTCAATCGTAAAATTGCCCGCAAAAATTTGTTGTTCGTAGCTATCTGTTGAGTGTTGAGGGTTTTTCTTAGGTATTTTTCTTCTCATTCTCTGTTGTTGCATCGCAGAAAGCTTACAATAACAGCTCTTCAATCAGCAGCTTCAACAAGGGAAAGCGAAAGGTTCGTCAAAACCCAACTGTTATTTTTGGATTTAAAGGATCTTTTTTTTTTTTTTTCTTTTTTTAATGTGGTAGATTAAAGCTGTAATTTTTTGGGGATTTTTTTGGTAATGCAATATTGGGTTGTTAGAGTTTCAAGCTCATGAAATTTTCCGGGTTTGTTTTCGATATGCAGTGCCCAATTTCTGTTCAATGAATTGAAAACAAATTAGTAAATTATTAATTGAAAACGTAAGTTTTGGATTAAAATTTGGTCCAATTTGGGTTTTTTCAGCTGTATGTAGTGTAATTTGCATCAGTAGGTTTCAGTTTAGCTTCAGTAGTTATCAAAAAAGCGAATTGAATTAGTTTTGTTTTAATGCAGTGAGAGACAATGTCAGTGCTTATAGTGACAAGCTTAGGGGAGATAGTTGTGGATTTGCATACAGACCAGTGCCCTCTCACTTGTAAAAACTTCTTGAAGCTCTGCAAGTAAGTCGATATTCATTCTTCACTGCCCTCTAGTTAATAGCATTTGGTTTACTTTTGGTTCTTGTCACTGACTGATGGCAGGTCGTCGTTATTTCAGCTATGAAACTTGGCAAATATATAAAGATCTAAGGCCTAAGGCTTTTTCTTTATTAGGTTGAATTTCATGTATTTTCTCTCAGCAATCAAATATCTTATTTCTTGATCTATGGATATATGAGCTTTGAGCATAGAAAAGTGGGTTAAGTTGCCCTTTATTTGATGAGTCTTGAGATTCTAGTCAGCTTTGTCTAATTACTAGTTTCTAGTGTAAATTGCTTACGTGCTGTTAGAAATATTGTCTGAATTCATAAAGCTTCTTACTTGCCTCAGAATTTTTTGTACATCATCATTGGTATGGCTCATTGGGATGTGAATCCTTGGTCTTGTATTTATTTAATTTGTATTTTGGCATATTATTTCATTCCTATCTTTTTCTCTTTTCTTTAACCTTCATCTTGATTCAGGATAAAATATTATAATGGGTGCCTTTTTCACACGGTTCAGAAGGATTTCACTGCACAGACTGGTGACCCAACTGGAACGGGTTCAGGTGGTGATTCAGTTTACAAGTAAGAATTTGCATGATCTGTTCCATGCAGCAACTTAAGTTGTGTTATGGTTCTCAATTACTCTACTTGACAACAAGTTAAGTGACTAAAGTTTTTAGATTACCGCTTAAATCACCTTGGACCATGTTCTGCTTTCAGATTTTTATATGGTGATCAGGCTCGCTTTTTCAACGATGAGATTCATCTTGATTTGAAGCATTCTAAGACAGGCACTGTTGCGATGGCTAGTGCTGGAGAGAATCTCAATGCTTCCCAGGTATGAGATTAATGCTTTTCTGTTATAAGTCTGTTTTCCCTGCATCAATCTTTTTGAGAAAGGGGTTTTATTTAGTTGAGTTGTGTATCTTTGTAAATTTATGCTTTTGGATGATGAACTTTTCATTTTTCAAAAACATTGGAGTGATGCACTGATTTATTTTTTGCTCAGTTCTACTTGACATTGCGTGATGATCTTGAGTACCTTGATGGGAAGCACACGGTAAGTGTCCAGTCCTATCTACAATTGTTTTACTAACTATATGTCTTGGATTTTTTATTACACAACTCTGTCAACTACACAGAATTTTATTTATTTTTTAATTCTATGCTGGGTGAATGGATTCTTAGGTCAGTTGAGGCATAAAGTTAGATAGGATCAGACAAGTATTGTGATACGATAGTTTTTCTGGTCTTAATGTCTTTTAAAATATTATGGCTACACATGTTAGCAATATTTCTTGGTTTCTACATCTGCTAGTTAAGTGCTGGATTGTGGGAGAGGGATTTCAATCTACTGCTGCACTGCTTAATGTGGAAAATAAAAGTGGTTATCACCTTGGTGTGCATAAGTGCTTATGAGTTTGTGTTTCATATGTGAATTACAGCAAAGCTTCCTGTGCAATAGTGTTCTCTCTGTTTGATGGTTTACATGACTATCCTTCCTTTGTGTGTCTTTATGTAGTGTGTATTAGATATATTTATAATTTTATAATAATAGATAGCCTCTCCAATAAATCTACAAAATAAGCAAGCAGATGGCATATGCCTTATGCCTGTGTGGTGATTATTCAGTTAGTCTACTCCTAAATTAGCCAACGGCAAAGGTGTTCGAAATATAAGCTGAGCTATATATGTTCTCCTGCCTTCTGCTAGTGTGGAATTGTTCACTTTGGTTTTTGGTTCATGTCCACCATTATTCAAGCAATGTATGTTTTGCAGGTTTTTGGTGAGATAGCAGAGGGGTTTGAGACATTGACAAGGATCAATGAGGCTTATGTGGATGAGAACAACCGACCCTATAAAAATATCCGGTCAGTTCCTGTTTGGCCTTGCATATATTTTATTTCCTGTTTGTCTCGATCTAGATTGACTTCCCTTTCCCTTATACTGTCATTTTTTATTTGTGTTGGCAGAATCAAACATACTTACATATTGGATGACCCTTTTGACGATCCTTCACAACTAGCTGAGTTAATTCCTGACGCCTCCCCTGAAGGAAAACCGAATGATGAGGTAGTGCCGTATTGCCATTTTTATTCCATATTTATCGGGTACTTTGAAAAACCAAAATAAGATAACAATGAGAAATGTATTCCTCATGACACTTGAAATCATGCATTCTTCGATATCAATGCATGGTTGTGGATCTTCAGCATAAACACAGGGCTCCTATTTTGGCTAATTCTGATAAACTTTAGGATGTGAACGGTAATTGTTTTATATTCCACGGTCTCTCTCCATCACTGGGCCTTTGAACATTTAAATCCAGCTTTTATGGGAAAAGTTCAGTTGTAGGGATCCGAACTCAGAATCTTATTCTTTGATAGTTGATACCATGATAAGTTTGTTAGTTAACCACCATTCCCAAAAGCTTAAGCTGAGCTGACGATTAATATATATTAAAAAATTGTCAATGTTCTTACTCATCTCCATCCTGACTAGGTTGATGATAATGTGCGGCTTGAAGATGATTGGGTTCCTCTGGATGAACAATTAGGTCCACAAGAACTTGAAGAGCGTCTTCGTGCCAAAGACGCACATTCCAGTGCGGTTGTGCTAGAGAGTGTAAGGACCTCAATCATTATCCTATCCTTCTAGTTTCAGAGTGAGCTGTTGTGTAATCACATGTTAATCCTCTTTTACCATTTTGCTTGTCATATCTGTACAACAGATTGGGGATATTCCTGATGTTGAGATAAAACCTCCCGACAATGTGCTTTTTGTTTGTAAATTGAATCCAGTAACTGAAGTAAGTAGTGTTTCCTTTCCCATTTCATAGTTTAACTAGTGGAGTGGTGCGTATAATTTTTGTTCTGTTTGCTTTTGATGCAGGATGAGGACTTGCACACAATTTTTTCGCGTTTCGGAACTGTTCAAGCGTAAGTATTGACCTTGTTTGTTTATTATTGATAAACTTTGGGGTTGGTGGATTAGGGATTGTAAAGTTGTGTATGTAATGTAATGATATGTGATTGATGGCAGGGCTGATATAATTCGTGATTTCAAGACTGGAGATAGCTTATGCTATGCATTCATAGGTGAGTATTTTATTTCTGTTTGTAATAGGAAATACACTATCTCTTGACTGTTATGCTGGCGAATGTAGGTTTTAGCACCTTTGTTTGATGAGTATTCCAACCGATATTTCTGTTTCACAATTTAGTGCTCCACCTTAATGCTCTTTGTCCTGCTTATGTTCTTCTTTCTCTTTATTCTCTTTTAAACTTTTTTGAATTAATATTCATATTTCTGAGAACGAAATTTAATCACTATGATATATTTTGTAATGCCAGAATTTGAGACCCGAGAAGCATGCGAACAAGCATATTTTAAGGTACTGTGAAAGAAATAAATGTACTTATATGTTGAATCTAACATGCATCTTCTGCCTGCATGCCTGCCATTCCTAGTTCATGCTCCAATCATTTGATTCTTATTTTAGTTCTTAGCTATAGTCAGTAACAACTTTTATAGAGTTCATTATGATTGAAATCTTGTAGTTATGATTATGGGGACAAAAAAAGAGAGAAACTTTGTTGCCCTACCAAAAACCCCTTGACATTTTTCTGATTCACTCTATAGATTTAATATCCTTATCTGTTGCATTTCCACGTGTATTTTTAAGGCATGCTCAGATAGTCCTTTCCAGTTAGGATTGCAAAGATACTTGTTGCAGAGCTTATGTAAATCTTGCGAATATTTTTGGCTTCTCTTCTCATCTGGATGCAGTTCCATTGAAAATAAAGAGTGAAATCAATTGAATTTATGTTTTATATGAACCCATTTTGCTTTGCTCGTCTTGTATGATTTCTTTTTGTAGATGGATAATGCTTTGATTGATGACCGGAGAATACATGTGGATTTTAGTCAAAGTGTTGCAAAACTGTGGTCCCAGTACAGGCGCAAAGATCAAAATGGCAAAGGTATAGACTTTAAAGCATGCAGAAAACACATATGTTGGGTTCCTTTTTGGCCATTTTTTCAATATGTGCTCAGATGAAGCTTGCTTAATCACCTGCTACTTGAAGGAATATTTTGAATATCTTTTTGTATGCTATTGTTTTTTCTGTTCATTATGTGTTATTGTTCACTTGTCCTTTTTTTCTTTTTTTTTGACTATCATAATCAATTAGGCCTACATGTGGCAAAATTGAAGTGGACCTATGAAAAGCAACTTAGACAACATATGGACTCGTTTATTGTGCCGTGTAATGACTAGCATGAACTTCATATGTCATGGTTGTGAAAAAAAATGTGTAGCTTGCCCTAAAAAAATAATTAATTGTAGATGTAAAATATCAGTAATAGGCTGTGCAAGTGTATTTTCTTGCATGATGGAATATCCAGAAGTTGTTTCATTCTTGTGGTCTTTGTTGTATCATGTACCATAGTAAGTGTCAATGTATCGGCCTTTAGCTGGCAAAATCCGCAAAAAAAAAATGTAAACATGTAAATTTAAAATGAGTTAGTAATATCTTGGATCAATCATGTTTTAAAGTGGTAAGTTTTCATGCAACCTGTATTTGTTTGCTTACTACCTGAATGAGGAAGTTGTTATTCGGCTGACAGATCAATATAGATATGCTTATATGCTCTAGGGCACCTAGATGGTTCGGAGTTGAGTTTCGGATTAAAATAAGGCAAATTAAAGAGGAAATTGGAGAAATAAATGATTTATAAATTCGTTGGATGCTTTTTATTGGAAGGAATTTGCTATATGAACTTTGGTTTTAGTGAAATTCCTGGATTTATTGTCAAAAAGGTGTCCTGTATTTGAAATTGCATTGAATCCTTTCTCCTCTAATTCGAAAACCTGGGAGTTAATCGAGTTCCATGTTTTTGTGGTTGTAGGCAAAGGTTGCTTCAAATGTGGTGCACTTGATCACATTGCCAAGGATTGTACCGGTGATCCTGCCAACAAACAGCAACCTCAAAAGTTCATATTGAAGGATGATAATGTACAGCGTGGTGGTGGCAAAAACTCCAGGTTGGTAATTTTGCATGCTCTCTCCTTCTCTCTCTCACACACACGCACACACACACACACCCACACACACACACACACACATCATATAAATGTATATCTGATATCAAGTTGTTCTTGTAGTTATGATATGGTATTTGATGGAGACACTCCGGAAAGCCCAAGGCAAGAGAAGAGAAGTCAAGGTCACAATAATGACCGTGGACTCGAGAAACAAAGTATGAATAGGCAGAGTTCCGAGGACCTAAGGTGTAGGGATCGAGAAAATAAAGACTCAAGTTATAGGGAGAGGCACAGTGACAGAAGTATAGGGTACATAGAGGATTCAAGTCGAGACAGTAAAGCAAATCGATCCAGTGGAAGCAGAAGTGGTCGAGATCATCTTGAAGAGGGAAGGGATAGAGAAAGGCGTAAGGACAGACAAAGAGACACAGATGATAAAACAGATCAGCGTGAGAGCAGATATGCAGATGATACCAATGCAGACAGGAGGGGCGATAGAGATTACAGAAAGAGGAGTGCACATAGTGATAGAGAGAATCATAAGGAGAGGCAGAGAAACATAGATGATAAGATCGATCAGCTGGAGAGTGGAAAGAGAAATGCAGATGGTGGTGAGAGGGGTGAGGTAAAATACAGGAGGAGTGCAGATAGTGATAGACTAGCGGAACGGAGTAGTGACAGAGAGTACAGAAAGAGAAGTGCAGCTGATGATAGCCTTCGAGAAAAGAGGGACAACGGAGATTATAGGAAGAGAAGTGTAGAGAGGAGGGATGAAACAGACTATAAAAAGAGGCATGCAGATGGTGACCGTCGAGACAAGAGAGACGAGCCAGTCCATAAGAAAAGAAGTGCAGATGTTGATGGCTATAGAGCTACAAGGGATAGAGAACATAGAAGGTGATAATGGCATCTTGATCCCGAGAAAAACTTCTCATGATGTATAACTTTGACATCCGAATACCGACGCAGACTTGTTTTTCTTTTTGCAGCAATGTACTTTTGTACCAAAGAAATTAAAAACTTTGGAGTTGGTATCTCGGTCTGTATCTGAATTTCTGAATCAATCCGTTACGGAGGGAGAAAATGGTGTTTGGTATTAATCCCGCTATTTGAAAGTGAATAATTATTGGCACTACAAAGAAGTCATCTCGCACTCCCTGAAGTCCAAAGGACTTTTTGAAGTGCAAATAATATACAAATCCCACCTCAGCATGGTGACTACGTAAGAAAAAACATGTTCCTTTGTAATGTAACAGGAGCAGATATTTATGAATTACGACCGAGTTTCAATAGAGATACGGTACCGTCTGAATCGTTTAGAAAAGAAATCCAAAAGGGTTTCTTCTCTATTTTTACTGCTATGATTCTACAATAAAATTATCATCATTTGAACTATCGTACACAGTTGACATCCAAACTTGTTTACTAAGACGTGAGATTCAAAAGGAACCTTTAAACTAGTCCTTTTGGGGCTTTCATGAGCCTCTTCGACATTTCTCAACGGCCGAGGATGTTGTCTACACGAAGGCACGTCAAAAACATCAAACGACGGAGCCTTGGAGCACACAAGCAAAAACACGACTTCATATTCCTTTGGAGAATAACCGTTGGCAAAAATATTTGCAGCAGCTTGCCTGTATCCATGATCATCACCAAAGAAATCGCAAAAATCTTGGACGTGAAAAGAAATTGAGGGATGAACAAAAACCTATGGCCAGCAGCAGGCATGAAACACCACCTCATAGATGATTCTCATGTGCATGTCTTTTGTTCTCTCTTTCTGTGTGGCCAGCCCGACCCACTCTGTTGTGATCATCTGTATAATCACCGTGATTGCGGTGAGTACGGTGATCATCTGGTGGGCTTCCTGCCCTTCTCTTGCGACTGCTTGATTTGGGTGAATGGAATTCATGTCCAGAATCAAGTGCCGATACCTCACCTTCTTCTATATTGTTTAAATGTGGTCCATCTCCAAGTTCTGGTCTATTTGAGGGCTTTGGCCAGCTTTGCCTCCGGTCTCGCTTGTTTTTCTCACTCCCCGAAGCCAGTTCAATACCATCTTCCAGTTCTCTCTCAATCAAATCATCCTCATCCAGAAAATCTGTCTTTCGAGTGACATCGGCAACAGATTTCCTTCGTTTCTCCAGTGCTGCCCTTACCTTGTCCTTGTCAATTTTTTTGATAGCTTCCTGAGGTGATCGACCGTGTGCACTTTGCCTATTATCCAGATTTCGGCCAAAATGTTTATCCCTTGGTTCCCATCCTTCCCTTGTTTCGCCTTTCCCGATATTGCTCTCTCTTTCTTGACCATCTTCACTACGTCCCTCTGATACAAACCTTGATGCATTTTGAGCTTCACCAAACTTCTCCTGGTGCCGCACTTCAGGGGGTTGAATATCTTTCACTTCAGCATTCATATTCTGCTCCAAGGCACCTTTCAATTCAACATTTCTGTAGTCATTATTTTGACTTTGGGTAGTTCTAGAAGGTCCACCATTCTCAATATATGAATGCTCAGACCCTTGCCTCGATGCTAGCTTTGAGGTTCCAGGTCTTGTACCTCCAGCCTGCAAGTGACTGTTGCCTGTTGCTTGTTCATCATTGCTAGTTGTAGGTTTTGCAGAAGCCCGGTGATTAGCACCACTCACTGAACTTCCTTCAACTTCATTGGAAGGTGGTAACCGATTTTGTTCATATAGTTCCAGCATTTGATTGCTAACCTCTGCAGAAATAATGATCAATTAAAACTCATACCAACATGCTAAAACTGATACCAACATATTAAACAATAATCCTACAAAAAGAATCCTAACTAATAGTTTAGACATGATCTCGAGATTGTACAAAGGTAGGAGGGTAGGAGAGAGGAGATTTCACTACTCTTCGAAACATTTTCTGTGTTATGGATTGATTTGACAGTGATTAACAAAATGAATAAGAGGGCCAAAAGTAATGAAAGAGTGAAGAGTGATGGAGTAAATTCATCAGATGAAGAAAAAGAGGATGGCAAGGAACAATTTTGATTGCTCTGCAGCATCACTTATTGAAATAAAGCAAGGACACCCACCCTCCAATTGGCGTGGGGTGACATCAAACTCTTGCCACCAGACCTTCTCGCCATCTGATGGAAGCTTTACTTTGAGGAACTTAGCAGCAAGAAAAATGGCACCAGCCGCAATGTGGTGGGGCTTAAATTGCAGGCAAAGTGATGTCCGAAGTCTGCATGCCACATACCAAGTTCAAGCAAGAAGAAACTGAAGAAAGCCCAAGAACAAGAAAGATGAACTAAGAGATCCATACCCATCATTTACAAAATTCCATGCAACTTGGGCAAGGGCATTTTGAGCTACTTTGAATTTCTTTATTGCCTCAACCAGGGGTTTATATGGATGGTGTACATTAAAATCGAAAGCAAGGGTTCCAAGAACAACCCTCTCTCCGAGTAAAATTAATTCTTTCTGCTGTTCATATACCTCCTGCATAATCATTGCAGATGTATGAATAAACTAAGCAATTACAAAGAATGAAAGAAAAGTAATTGTATAACAAAACAAACAATAAACTAAATATCGGATTTGGATAGAGTGCGCATATCTGGGGAACATCCAAAAGTATGGTCTTCAAATAAAATAAATAAAAGAATGAAAGAGGGAAAAGCTGTTGGCGCGTGTTGAGAGTGAATCCAACATTGGAAAAAGGAGGGACCTTGCATGTGCTTATAAGTAGTTGGGCTACTCTCCATATTGCCAAGTGGTTTTATGGTGGAACCCCAACTACTTATAAGTCCATGGTGGAACCCCAAAAGCTTCCAGTGTTGGATTCACTCTCAACAAAAGCAACATGGACACATGAGGTAGACAGGATAAAAGAAATATTAAAATGAAAATAGGAAAGCAACATGGAAGTGTAAGGTAGACAAGAGAAAAAGCAAGTTGATTTGCAATCTATGTGATTTTGCAGCTGACTACACATTACTATTGCAACATGGGTATGCAGAGTCTTTGTACTTAACCTATAGAGGTAAGTAGGCACTTAGATATGGTATAACCAGAGGGCTGATAGTAAGCAGCTGAGAACTTGGGGGAAACAATAGACAAGAAGAGTAATGGTTCACATCTCAGAATTATCTTTTTAAAAATTAGGAAGACCGAAACAAGTAGAATTCCAAATAAATGTTTTTGATTGATAAAAGTACAGCAATGCCAGGCACAAGAACTAAGTGATAAGTTGATAACTACCTTTTGCTTGATTCTATGAACTGCTGCAGGATCCTTTTTATGAATAATTTCATATGAGACAAGAATAACATCTTTCAGTGGCCTGGGAGTTTCTTCAACCTTCCCAGCGAGAAACATACACACAGTTGCGATGGTCTGCATAACAGTATTACAAAATTTAGTTAAGTACAATAAAAACTTCCCTTTTTCAGTAATAGGAGTCATTTTTCTATTACTTGTTAGATGGGAACTTTGTGCATTTTCAACTTAGAACATGAAATTTTCCTATTTCTTCAACCTTCCCTTAAAGGATCTCGTCTGTCTCAAATCCTGACAGACGAGATCCTTTAAGGGGCCTCTGTGGGTGCGCTAATGTGTGTGGGTGTCAATTATGAAACAGGCACACAATGCATTACATATTAGTTTAATGATAACTTAGATATAAGAAACCATAGGGGTTGGGGGCCATTCAAGGTTGCTCATACTCACCCATCTATCATTCTTTGCATGGGATTGGCAAAGGAAGAATCGGTGGCAGAAAATTATGGCCGTCGCAATTGTTACCTGAGGTCTGCATAAAAAATTGCTCACGTTCAGAAATTATTATCATAAATTATGTGGTAGAATTTAAGTCACAACAGAAATTGGTATCAAATCTACTATTCAGTAGGAGAACTACAATGATACTCAGTTCCAACGACTAATATGCTCCTAGAGTTAAATACCAAAACATTGAGGAAAACTGAATTCAATATTTATTTAGGTTTTAGAAGTTAAAAAACATTTTGTAAGGAAACTAGTGAAAGGAATAGAATATTCAGTGCTCATGACTAGCCTTTTAAAAGCCATCTAATTTTTCGTACGTACATATAGAGAATATAATAACCTTCAGCAAGGTGTGAGAAAACACAATTACTGTTAACTAACATTGTATGTTATAAGTATATTAAGGCACTGAATCATCAAAGCTCTCATCCACACCCAAAGCTAGATTATCAATTCCTTTTCAACAGGGTATAATAAAGGAAAATGCACAAAGGTTTAGATAAAAAGCATAGAATGACAATCAAACAACAGTAACACTAGTAGTTTGGAGATAACAAGTGAAGGAAGATAAATTTATGGATAAGGCTTACTCACACTTTAAGTCTCATCCCCAGGTCTTGTAAAAAAGTACAGTATGACTTGCGCAGATATGCCTCTTTTTTTAAGTCAATGCCATCTTGTTTAGATGGAGAGTTTTCTTCAATTTCCTTCCTGGAAAAATACCAATTGGCTCCTTCTTCTGATATGTCATGAGCGTGTTTATAGGAACCACCTTCACTCATTCCATAATTAGAGGAATCACCAGACAAGAAAGAAGCCATATGTATCTCTGTTCACCACTTAAAAATGTATATGACGTAGACAGCTCATAGTTCAGTGCTAAAACTGCCAACAGGTCATCAACAAAAGTCAGGAAGGTATCTTAAGAATATCACAAATGGGAATCAAAGACAAGGCAAGACATGAACACGTGTTACTTTATCATAAAGTAGGAAGCATCTCGATGGTATTCTTCTTCCAAGTTTTGTTCATTAGCATTACTCGTGTTTTGGATGTGTGTTTTACTGGGGAAGAAAAGTTAAAAACAGCTGCTGCTTCAACATAAATTAAGACAGCAGATAGTTTGTTTGTTTGCTTTTTTTTTTTTTTTTTTTCTTTTTTTGAGAAGAGTTAAGACAGCAGATAGTTGCATACATAGTTACATACTATTTTCTATAGTCTAAATGTTGTTCCAGATTATGTCCGCAGTTAGATAGTGTAGTGCTTTCTATATTGATTAGTGTACTTAATAATTATGGCCGTGAGCAACTTATCTATAGTGGTCGTACAGTATCTTGGCTTTAATAAAAAATTTGTT